AATTTATTCCGTACAGTATAAGTTTTTTTTAGAGGAATGTATCTTTTGAGAAAAGGGCAAATTAAATTTAGCCCGGCTTAAATTCTATGACTTGACGACCAGGCTATAAAAGAATAAAAATGAAAAGGGGTTTATTAGCAGATATCAAAGACTTTGTCCTCACTCTTTTTTCTTATATGTCTGGAAAAAATTTTGAAATAAATATTAATGTTTACAGAATGTTTACAATTCATATTAAAATTGCAACATGTGATTCTTTTTTAATTTTACGCTCGGAGATATTTTCAAATTATATATTTTAGTTAGTAAAGGTATCACGTTTGTCTCTAAGTTATACCGATAGCATACTTAGTTACAAACTGTAATGATCCTGACAGTGATTACCTAGAGTCAACACTGACATATATATATATATATATATATATATATATATAGATAGATAGATAGATAGATAGATAGATAGATAGATAGATAGATTTCATTTTTAATAATAACTTAAATAATAATAAAATCTTTTGCATGCAAGTAAAATTGAGTTCTTTGGTCCCATTTGGTACTAATGAAATAATACACGTCACAACAACGAATTTTCTGTTGTTGCTTTTTTTTAAAAAATTAAGAAATATAAAATAATAATCGTAACACCAACTAAGTTACTCTCTCTCTCTCTCTCACACACACACACACACACACACACACACACACATATATATATATATATATATATATATATAACGAATGGTTAATGCCAGTTTTATATCTTAAGTGAACATAAAGCTCTCTAATGAGAATCGTGATCCAGTATACGTAACTTAGATGTGGCACAAGGCCGTAAGTATGTAGCGCAAATTGTAATTGATCTTGTAGGACAATCTTGCTAACTTTTACATTACATCGAAGTGTCCAAAATATGATGAACTCTTAAGGCGTGAAACTACTAGTCACTGTTGATATATTTACGCTCTCACACACTATTAAGAACATTCCCCCGACATATATAGCCCATTTTAAACAATATAATTACCATTCGCACACTCGCACGCATACACACGTATGCACTCACACAGACATACATTCATACACATATATATATGTATAAATATATACGTGTTTGCGTGTATATATCTATATATATAAACAATCAAGGACAGTGCATATCGTCTAAACCAAGCAAGTTCATCGCAAGAACTGTTATTTTTAAAACTAAACGTAGTTCGATGTATCACTAAGTTGAATATGTAAAATGACTTTACTGTTGAAAAAAACAATTATTGTTCATTAGTTAATTTTTTAAAACCGAAATATTAATGAATTATTTTAGCACGGATTTCCCCTTACATCCGCAAATCGACGCTAAATAAGTGGGAAAAACATTTACAGATTTATCTGAAAAAATAGAAAACTACAAATGAATCATCTCCATTGAGATTCATTTTATTTTTATTTTATTTTTTTTACCTTCTTTCCTTAGCTATAAACCTGTGAAACAAGTTACCTCTCCCCCTTGGACATGTTTAGTTTGTATTACGTTACAAAATCATACAATTTTAAACTCATTTAGTAGTAACTGCCGTCCAAAATTGTCAGCTTTCGATATATACATTTTACGTAGATTCGAACAACTCGTGCTAATGTCGAACATAGACATGAAACAGTATTATCAAATGAGCCAATGCCATATGATTACATTAATAACAGCGTCCGTTACATATGTCAGTATTTTTAAGGTGCATAGGCAGGCAGAGATAAAATAATACTAAGCAGTCTATTCTCGCTTTAGCAATTCTAGTGAAATATATGCGCAATAGATACACGTTGTGACATACTAAGGCAGTATTTAGCAACGGAGAGTTATCATACATTAATGTCCATTTGCCAGAATAAAAGGTATATATATATATATATATATATATATATATATATATATATATATATATATATATATAAACCTTATATATATATATATATATATATATACATATATATATATATAAACCTTATTCTGGCAAATGCAATGTTAAGGGGAAAACTTTTTTTAGACGTCTCACCAAGACCTTACCCTGATAAATATAGCCCATTTTAAACACTATAATTACATTCGCACACTCGCATACATACATACGTATGCACTCCCGGATAGGAAAAGGAAAACCTTTTTTTGACGTTGAAACAAAAATGTACAATTTTGTAGTGGATATGTGCATGTTCTAATGTAACACTGCATAAGATAAATAAATATTTACGGCTCTAATTTATATATTGAGCACTATTTTTAAATTAATGTTTTGAACGGTGTAATCCTAGTGTTCCTTCTCGTACACTTTTATATATATATATATATATATATATATATATATATATATATATATATATATATGTGTGTGTGTGTGTGTGTGTGTGTGTGTGTGTGTGTGTGTGTGTGTTGTTTCTTCTCGTTAAAATCCTTGGCAAATTCACTTCTAGACATGAATTTTTCTTCACAAAAAAAGTTCGTTTTGTATAATTTTGCTTTTGATACAAGACACATATTAGCGTGATTTTTAACTTCCCTTAAACAGATTGGCACTGAAGCAATCCAAGAACATCAATGAATTTCTTTAGAATTCTGTCGTATCTGCCAATAATTTGTTTCCAATTTCCAGACATTTCTGATAGGCAATTTCTTGTCATTTCTCTTTAGCTGCCAATCCTCTCAACGATCCACTGTCAAATTTAGGCTCGCAAAGTTGCTATTAATTGATGACTGCGAAATTCAAGTCATTTCCTAGAAAATATAGTAGTAATAATTATGAAAATCCAAATATATATATATATATATATATATATATATATATATATATATATATAATAATTAAAAAAACACAATGAAAAATATCCAGTAGGAAAACTGATGAAATCAAGAAAATGTTAGTGAATTAGAAATAACCAAACGGAGGTTGGAAATGAAATGGCAATCTTTATAACATCATCAAAATACAATACTCGCTAGCGACGTGAAATAGGTAAACCACTGCTATTGGTGGACTGCATAGACAGCATATTACCTCCACTTACAATTGTGTCCAATTTATGAGGATTGGGACATAAACATTAGTGTTCATAGAAACGGCATATAAGAAAAACGGGTACATATAAATGATGCGTTTATGAGCGCGAGTAGGAGCATGAACTACATGTGTTTCTTGTTTGGTCCGCATATGTAGACGTGGCAATGGCAATAAAGCCCAGTCCGATTAAACATATCACAAGAACTTTTTCCAGTTTGCCATATATATATATATATATATATATGGAACTCTGTTAAAAAATTGAAGAAAATGCAGTAGTTTTACGTATTGTCACTGGAAACTCATTTTTGTACAAAACCGTCGCACACAGAAGTCGACTCATTTTTGTGCGAAACGTAAGTTCCGATTTGAATTTTCACATTCACATATATTAACCACTCGACAACGTCATATGAAACGCGCTGTAGTCTTTGAATTTTCAAACAACAATGTTATCGTCTGATACAAAAATTTGAAAGCTCACTTCAGAAAATGATCAACAATATTTTCTCTCCTTATAATAGATATCTAAACCTTGGGGAAAATATTAACCAATAAACTCTGAGTTTAGTAAAATCTAACTTTTAGATTTCTGCAGCCTAATTTTTCTTATAAATATATGAAATGTTAAGTTATTAAATTAGTTTTTCAGTTTTATCATGGACCTTTCACTAGGGCTATTCGTTCGCTATAGAAGTTGAAATTATCATTTTCACATTTCCGCGTATTTATTTGAGTACACTATATGACAAAAAAGACTTAGCGATATTGATTAAGAAACACAAAAGACATGCGAACAGATTTAACACAGATTTTAGAAGTAATATCAATGCAGCTATCGTACACTGGCTGCTTATAGCTCCTACTAGGAAATTATACGCATACATAAAACACCCTAAATACGTGCCACACACATTCTCACATGTAGGCGGATTCTATTTTTATCTTACAAAGGCGGTTGATTCGTTTGTATCGCAAAGAAAGTAAAAATAAAAATTTGTATGAATTTGTTTCGCAAAGAGTCTTTTTAATAATTTCTTTCGGTTTGAAAGAAAACTAAGACACAATAATAAAAATATATTTAAATTTGTAGAACCATGAAAAGGGCTGTTTATTTTCTTCTTTATTACACACCAAAACCTTTAGAAACACACACACACACACACACACACACACACACACACACACATATATATATATATATATATATATATATATATTTATATATATATATATACTAAGCGGTGATTGCCTGTTTTATGCTTGGCTTGGCAATTGCGTTCAAGCATGAAGCAGCCTGCCACTGCTCGGTGTTGACCTCTGTGTTCACTTTTGTTTTTAAAATCGCTCTATCCCTGAAGTTGAACACTTAACCCATAAATATAGCATACCTTATTGCTATATTTTATCACACACACACAAACACACACACATATATATGCGTCTGTATGTGTGTGCATGCATGCGTGCAATAATATTTTTATGATTGTGTGTGTGTGTGTGTTACCATACAGAAATATGAATAGAATCTTCATTTTCTGTATATTATCTCTTCATTTATTCAATGATGAAATACTGTGTAGTAGCGTAAAAGACCCCCTTTTTTTTAGCCTACTCTATTTGATCACCGAGAGCTGCTGACCGCGTGTTCGCTCGGCAGGATCTACATTTCCACTGCAATAAAACGATTATGATCAGAGGCGCATGCTGATGTCTACGGAAAAGCCAAACATAACGCAATTTCACAACCACGTACCATGAAGTGCATTATTGCATGATGCATCTTGAGCAGGTATCTGGTTTTCCTAACATTAAAAACTGTCTATTGTCTGGTGGTCAATAAAGAATGCTTCCACTGTCTATAAGCGAAAACAAATTATGAATATTGAATTTGTTAGAATGATCACGAAATAAAAGGGACATAACTCTCTCAACCAAATAGGGAGAAATAAAATGAAGAGACGGACTAAAGGTGATGAAAAAGACAGACAGACTGAGATTAATGCCAGGCGTAAGTATGAAGTAGATTAATATTCACACATCATCAACATCACAGCATTTTCAAATACACAAGCAGTAAAAGGATGCTGAGAAATGCTGGAACGGAGGACATTAGAAACAGAGATAAGTTTTAAATCTTCGCAACTAGAAAGAAAACCAAACACAAAATGAAACCTTCTTATAAACTAAAGTATCTAAAATCTCAAGGACATTAATGTTATAAGTAATGAAGTGTAAATAGAGTGTGTAGCGCCAAATCCTATTTGCTTCAAAAATCAGAATTCAAAATCTTGACTTTTTCGCAGTCTGAACTTAGATCATTTGCTCTGAAGACTACATTAGAAAGACACATTAAAATGGTTAGAAATAGCTTCTTTTTACGACCATTAGAAGGATATCGAGGAACGGATGTAGAGAGATAAATATACCCTAAGTAATTATGTAACATAATCTTGACATTATACGTGGTTAAGTATATGTCTCGAGCTAATGTTTGGCGACTACATTCGTTGTTGATTTTTTTGTTTTTTTTTTTTTGTTTTTTTTATCGGTATCGGTTGGGGCGGTATGTTAGTCTCGACGGTTGTCTTCAGGTCAACACAAAAATTGTCTTTTTCACCAGAAGAAAATTAATTTTTTGTCGTATTTAAATAACACAATATATATTGTCTGTATTGGCCAGTTTTATTGTCCCCAGTGGGAAAATGTTGCCGACAACTTGTCAGTGACGAGGAGAGGAAATTGAGTGAAAGGGACTCCACAGTCCATGCAGACCCACGTTCCACCGAGGAGAATATTTTTTGCCAGGAAATCTTATCGGTACTCGTTGATTTTTCACTTCACGCGTCAATGTAAAGGTGCGGCTTCATCGTTTTTTCTTTACTTTTTTTTTGTTGACTTGAGACTATCAATTGTCCATATGACACATCGTATTTATATATAAGAAACTTTTCAAACAAACTTTGTGACTGTTTATTAGGAATTTTTTTTTTGTTTTAATCACTAACTTGAACTTATCTCCTCAATTGTACACACAAAATATTAAAATTATTGAAACTTTTATATCTAGAATAGCAAAAATATCAGTTATATGGCCAGGGAAAACTTCTCACCCTACTCTAAAGAAGTAAAACTAGCCTTACTTTTTAGAAGATCATGACACGGATACGGCTTTGTCACAGTTACTCAACAAAAGCCAATCTTATGAACTTTATATAAATCTTTAAAATAACATCCATTTAGTTTGATGTCCACTCCTCAAATCGTAATTATATGTCCAGTTCCAATCTCCCTACAGATATGTCCTTAATTATACAGTGCTACTTTAACCATATAAGATTTGGAACTAGGAGATGTCAGTTATTCCTCGAGAAGACTTTGGTCCCCGAGGGTCCTCAGACGAGCGAGATTGATATGGTATCTCTCCCGACTGCTCAAACATAACGTTTCTGACTCAAAGAGTTCTGCTGCTTTGATTCCTCGGCAGCAACCTTATTTAGTTACCCTCTACATTGAGTGGCACTCGGCGCTTGTGTTAGATGAAATATATTTTTAAAGAACCAGGCCATTATGCTTAGAATGGGAAGTATGTAATAAATTAATGTGTATAATAAAAATGTATAAATGTCTCGTTTGACGTGCTAGCTCGAAACACAGAAACTAGCAAAAATTACTTAGAAACAAAGTTTAAAACAGAGAAAAACGTTTGTAAAGCTTCATGAAAGTGATAATTCCAAGAAAAAGATGGCAACCTCGATCAAAGATGAGACTAACACAGCAAGTCATTAAGCAACAAAAACAGAGATTTAGGGAACACAAAGTGAGAAGAAAGAATATGAAGTAGTTAAAGACTGGTTGGTAAGCTAACCAATCTATAACAAATTCAGTAGAAAAATACGGAAAGTGAAAAGATGAGTTGCATTATTTACATTATTTGGATTGTTAACCTCATCTTCATTGGCATATTTACAACGTTTCACCGGTTATAATCCCCGGACTTCTTCAGGTGATTGAACTTTCAAACAGAACCCTGAAAGACACAGAGTCCAGTCGATAAATACGTTGACTAGACTCAAAGATTTGGTGAAACAAAAAATTGGAGAGTTGTGTTAAAGGGAAATAACTGAGACATTTGTAAGATGCATGACACGTGGATCTAGAACAGTCTACTCCGGTGGACTAAATATAGAATTCGGTTTGAAATTTCAATCGCCTGTAGAAGGCCAGAGCCTACAAAGACTGAAAAATTGTGAATACGGCAATGAAGATGAGGATAACAGTCCGAATAATGTAAATAATGTAAGCAATAACAATATCTTCCCTCGAAGATATAGACATATACGAAAAGATGAAATTTAGGGATATGCCGGTCAGACATGACAAAGAATATCAGAATCACGATCGTTATGAGAGATTTGGGAAAAACCTGTATCCAACAGTGGACTTCAAAGAGCTACTGCTAATATCTCTAGCTAGGTTAATTGGCTAAAAGCTCTGAGTCGGTAGCTGAACTAAGTTTAAAGAGACTAATACATGATTAAAGATGGACTCTATCGATATTATTTACGTTTAGCTTAGTTTGGCATAAGGCTAAATGTATGAGGCTCTGAGTGAGTACCGAATTCAGACTAGCAGTAATGATCTTCAAGATTAATTTGTTTAGAATTTTACTGCGCTCTCCTATGCTACCAATATTTACGTAAGTTTTATTAGTTTGGCACAAGGCCACGGATAAAAGATTACAGACATTTTCATATCTTGATCAAGTGTAAGGCTAAAATTATGTGACACACGATGAGTATCAGCATCCGTTCAGAAGTAACATTATTATCATAAACTAACTGGCTAACCTCTTCAATAGGACGACGCGATTTATAAAACTATTTACAATCTGGAACTGAAACTGTAGAAAAATGTAGGAAAAGCAAATACGAAAGAATTAAGAATCAAAAGAAAATAAAGAATGGAGAAAAAAATGCGACAGCGTCCAAGAGAAAGATACAGCGACATTGTTTCATAAAACAACAATAAGCTGGCAACAGAATACAAAAAGAAATAAGGAATCATGGTCGTCTATCTCTCTCACTCTCTCTATCAATCTCTCTCTCTCCCCTGCATTGTAACTCTTTATGTAACTCTGGGCTTTAAAGATGTCCACAAATACAACAGAATGTCCAAATATTTATTAACGAAAACAAATACCCACACACGTATCGCGACTGGTTCCTGTCAACGTTGAAAATGGGTGTAACAGCTTTTGGCCGTACATATTACGTGGCCGGTAATGTTAGAAAAAATCCGCATAGACGACTACTCATTGATTTATTGACGATTTTTGCTCGAACGTGGCATGCAAATAATGACAAGTCTTGGCAGAAGATTTTTTTAGACGATAGGACAAATAGAATCATGGATTTTTAAAGGTACTTTATCTCAACGTACTACCGAGTAACTATCTCGGTCCTGAGTTTAAACCGAGATGGATAAATGGAAAGAAAGAAAAAAATGGAAAGAAAGAGGGAAACGCAAAAAGAAATATTGTGGACATAGACATCCGCACTGTAGGAGTTTACAAGTTTTATGTCTGAAAGATCACCAGAACAAGATGTGATGATTGGCACTCAATATGAATAAATATTTATTTCTATGTTCGCACCGATCATAATTTAAAAAAGCTGTATCATCCAATATTTCGCACTCCTTTCCTATAAATACAAAAACATTCATATATATATATATATATATATATATATAAGTCTCAAACACTAATATTCCATGGTTATAATTTATTATATTGGAATCGTAATGACGATCCAATTCATCAAACCTACAAATTAAAAAAAAACCTGTTTTAAATTTATAACCATGGAATATTAGTGTTTGAGCCTTTTACCAGGGGAATTCATAGAAGCATAGATCCATCAGCTCTTATCTCAAATAACAACTTAAAAGAGACTGTTTGACCAACACAAGGAATGTTAAAAGATTCATGTTAAAAACATATATATATATATATATAAATATAAAAGTGAACATAGAAGTCAACACTTAGAGGCGACAGTCTGTTTCATGCTATATGCAATCGTCAGGCCACATATAACATGAAACAGACTGTCGCCTCACCTCTATGTTCAAACTTTTTATATTTAGCACACGCTCTATCTCTGATATTGAGCACTTTATCCCATAAATATAGCACACCTTAAGAGTATATTTCCTATATATATATATATATATATATATATATATATATATATATATATATATATAAAAAATGAAATCAAACAATTTACCTCATACAGATGATCATTTCGTCCATTGGAAACCAGTTTGTCAGTTGAATTTGTTACTTGTAAAGTTAAGAACTGTGAGTCAGTACGTGATCACTTGACACCGCTTCAGCGGATGTAACTCAGTATGGTACGTGGAAAGTTTTTTAAGAAATAAGTAATAAAAAAATATTACTGCAAACCTTGATATTTTAAACTATCTATTGCACACATTTTAAACATCTGTGCAGGATCAATAGAAAATAATTAGACAAAACTTGTATATTATTCAATGAAACATCCTCAATTAAACATGCTTCAAAATATACAAAATATATATATATATAAATATATATATATATATATATATATATATATATATATATATATATATATATATATATATATATATATATATATATATATATATATATATATATATATATATATATATATATATATATATATATATATATATATATATATATATATGTGTGTGTGTCTGTTTGTTTGTGTGTCTGTTAGACGAATCATTCATAAATACCTGGTGTACAGAGAAATAAAGAGGAAAAAAGATTGCACTTAAGACAAAGAAAATACGAATATATCAGCTCAGTGACAAACTTACTCAAATTATGCCTATATATATATATATATATATATATATATATATATATATATATATGTGTGTGTGTGTGTGTGTGGAGGCACGGTAGAATACGGAATATCTGCTTGGATTGAG